GTTAATTAACAGTTGGGGGATTTGAAAAAAAAAATTTAAATGCTGGGCAAGTTAACTTTAAACATTTAATGATGAGGGGTCATATGCAACTACTATAAATTAAATTTAGGAGATTTTTATATCTTTTACCTTGTTTTAATTTTATAACTCATCATTTTTAATCATTTTACTTGTAAAACTAGCTACTTGTTTTTCTTAAAAAAAAAATTAAGTACATTCAAGTGAGCATTAAAGCAAAAATGCGCCTGTCAGCTGAACGAAAACATACAGTAAGAACCCCCACATATCACTAAAACGCTGCTCCCCCCTTAAAATATATTAGTCTTATTTGTTTTTTTTTTCCCTCAAAATATTTCACATTCGACATCAGATTAAACTCAACTATTATGATAAGATTTAATTAAAAATAATTTTTCTCATATAATTTTTTTCTATCCACAGTGTTCAGACACTCTATCTTATTTAAGAGAAATATAGGGTCTTTATTTTAGCTTATTTTATATAAATATTTTTTTAAAAAAAATTATTTTTTGAGTTTTTATGGTCTTTTTTTAAATTTTTAAAAACAATCCAAATTAAAAAAACAGACTTATGATTAAATAACTTTTTAAAATAATCTGATACAATAGATGTGAGATAATGTTTTAAAAAGGATAAAATAACTTTTTAAAATAATCTGATACAATAGATGTGAGATAATGTTTTAAAAAGGAGGGATGTGCGAAAATACTACAAAATTTTAAAATAAGTAAATAATAAATTATTTTCAGGAGATAAAAATAAAATAAAATTTAAAAATTTAAAAATAATTAATTAACAATCGCTTTTTTTATTGTAGTCAAACTTAAAATAATGTCTGCTTTTTATAAATTTTTTATAAAATAAATATCTTTCTATAAGATCTCTTAACTATTTAAAAATCACTTAATTTTTAGTTTTTAACAAATGACCCATGATTGATTATCTTTTATGGGATTCAACTATCATTAGTCCAAAATACATGAAACCAACTGCACCTATTTTCCCATATATCGTAAAGGGTTTGTGAATAGTTCAAGTTGTTGAAAATTTTATATTGATACCCCGTTGCTTCTTATCTATTGCCCCTTTTAACTTCAGTGTAAGTTATCTCTAATTGCATCAGAGGCACACTTAAAATAAAAAAAAAATCTAACTTTAATTACCACTGTTTAAAAGCATATAGAAATACTACATTGGATTTCGAGTTTCCTCCTAATAAAATGTATTAGGAGTAATATTTGAAAAAAAAAAAGTTAATGAATGACCCACCGAGAGATTTATTTTATATATGTGTGTGTGAGAGAGAGATATCATCAATTTATTTTAGAAGATGCCATATACAAAGGACACGGGGAGTATTCTGGGAGAAAAAATTTGCTTTTACTTAATTTACTATGGGATAATGAAATTTTTAGCTTTTTAAATTTCTTTTAGTTATTGATTTGGTCTCTTAAATTTAATTTCTATCAATTTAATCCTTTATGTAATCCCATGTTATAATGTAAATCTTTTAAGTTTAATTTTGAAACACAAATTAACTCTTAAAATAATCTAATGTATAAAGTATATTGGTAATTTTGTATGTATATGTAGTTAAATAAAAATAAATTAATCCTCCAACGAGTATAACTTTCATCAATATAACTCTTTACAACGTGTTTTGTTTTCTTGTTCTTTTTTTTAAATTTTAGAGTTTTTTAATCTAAATAATTATACTCATTTTCATTAATATACATAGTTGTCATCAATGTTTTATAATTTAAGTCAGCAAATGTTAACAGTGTAATTTTTTAAAATAATAAGGATCAAATGGATAATCAAAATAAATTTAAAAGACTAAATGGATAAAAATTAAATATGAGAGACTAAATTGATAATTGAAATAACTTAAAGGACTAAAAGCTGCATCATCCCATTTATTATTTTAGAAGTTTAAAGCATCATGAATTGTTATCTTTTTAATTATACCGTTATTTTTTACCGGGTAAAATTCTTAATCAAACAAGAAAAATTACACTTGACAAGGGCACGTTGGAAAATTTAGAAAGAATTTGAACATATATTAATCATATTTTTTATATATTTGTAAAGGCCTTAAAACACAACAACAACAACAATAATGGAAGGAGTGTATAACTCATTCACCTAATGATGTGAAAGTTACTAAACTACGACGTTTGAAAATATGAAGTAATTAGTAATAATACCTAGCAGTGCCTTAAAAAAGGAGTCAGAGGATCCATATGGTGAGGTCATACAGATTTAGTTTTCATCTTATAGCAGCTGTCTCTTCCCACTTACTTAATCCAAAAGGAAGTGACAGCCATTATCACATTAATCAATGATTAATTATCTCTCATTAAATAAATACAAACTCTGTTTTCCTTCGACCTAATAGTTTTTCTTGTGTGTGGTCCTGCGAATGCGTACGTTTGACATTATATATATATATATATATATATTGGTGGAAAAGCAAATACATACGTTTGACATTATATGATTACTTGCATTTTTCACACCTAGATGGAAGCAGAACCAAAAGTTACTAAGAACATTGAAAAGAGAACGATGCTTGTTCTGAGTGAACAAGACAATATTACCGGTGACTTTATGATCTTCTGCAATCCCATCACCATGCCTAACAACTATAAAAAAAAAAATATTAACATTGACGTTACTCCCCTTCTCTAATTACAGATAACATATATGTGTGTGTTTGCATGTATGTATATGTATATTCCATAATTCAAAAATTTAAGATATGTTTAATTAAATCACACCCTCAATAAATTAATTAATCATCTTTTAATTGATAATATTTTTCATATTTATCTTTATTTAACAATATGTCTCACTTAAAGGATTAACAAATCTAGAAAAATTCAGCAACGAGAGCAATATTTATAGCAAATATAAATATAAATATTTTTTTAAAATATAATTCTAAATATTAATTAGATTAATATATAAATAAATTACATGAGAAATTAAAAAAATATATCTTGATTTCATTTATATCATACATCTATTTTTATAATAAATAAAAGAGCAAACAATATTTTTAAATATGTATGCTTTTTTCTTTTTCTTTTTACCAACAATATGTATACTTGATGGTTTTAAAGAGAATGTGTGGCAATTATTGTTTAATGGGAGGTAAATTTTTTTTTTAATATGGCAAATATTCGAACTTCCTAATTTTTTTTAATATTAACTCAAATAAGTTTTTTAAAAAATTTATATATGACTTATAATTTTTTATATATTGATTATATTTTTTGAGCTTTTAACATCCCAACCTATGTTGGGATGTTATCTAAACATACCCTAAGATTTTAGGGTGTCCAATGTTATTAAAAAAAAATTTCAGAGTGTCTCACATTATTTAAAAAAGAGTTTAGTGATAAATTAATACTAAAAGATATGGTTAGAGTTTTGTATACTACTGTGTGTGAGCCCACACACATATCACATTAGCAAAAAACAGAAAAATTAATGAGTAACTAACAAAAGAGCCTTTTACTTTTTCAAAAATGGTCCAGGAGGGAAATTATTCTACTTATCAACACAAAGTGCCTAACATTTCTAAAAAAAAAAAGTTTTAGGATAAAAATTAATCTTAACTCAAAAAAAAATATTGAAAAATATCTTATATTTTTTAACTTCTAATTTAAAAAAAGAAAGAATCACATCTAATGACTTTTAAAAAAAATTGTTTATAGATAAAGACCAATACAAAATGAATTGTTGTTAAAATGAGAACATGATTTTTCTTAATTGGATTTATTGTTAGTCTTTGTTTGTGAATAATTTTCTTAAAAGATCCTTGGACGTGATTCTCCCTTTAAAAAATACTCCCTTTGTTTCAAATTAAAAGATATTTTTAGATAAAATTTTACATACTAATAAACCTTATTAAATATACTTAATAAATATATTTGTTTTAAAATAAAAATATAAACTTTTAAAAATACTCATAATTTAATATATTAAAAAGAGAAGGAATGAGAATTAATTATAGAGAGAGAAATAATAATATTAAATTTAGTGTATTTAATAAAATTTTAATATACTCAAAGTATTTTATATTTTAAAATAATTTTTTTAAAATATTTTATAATTTAGGATGGAAAGAATGCGTTATATTTTTGAATAAACAGAGAGTGTGTGTATTAAGTTTCATAGATAATTGTACAAGAAAGTTATCCTTTTAGTTTTCAGTCACGAGTTCGATCCCTACCTTTTATGCGCAGGTAAAAATTTGTCTCCTGTCTTCAATACTTTAGGAAAGATTAGTTTGTAGCATTAGCAAAAGATATTGTTGGTTTTAAAAAAACTATACTAACTTAAATTGATTATTTTGATAATCAATCGCTAGGCTGAGGAGATTTTTTAAAAGCAGAATTATTGAATTCATTTTTTGAGATATAGGTTCTCTGTACACTATGTTTATTTTTTTTGGTGATTACTGTGTTTTTTTTATTAGAATCTACACACTATGCTTTTATTATAATTACAATCCTATTCGGGTGATTTTTATTTTTCCATTTTGATCCCTCATCTTGTGATACTCTTATTTCATTCAACAATAACATCAAAACGGTATTATTTCACTCTATTACTGCATCATCGATAATGCAATTGCAATTATGATATAATACTAATAAATTTGAATGATAATTTTTAACAAATTTTAATTGTAATTTTGATTGAATTTTTGTAAGTTGGATTGATTCTGTTTTTGATTGATAATGTCTTTACAACAACAGAAAGACACTATATATATTTTTTTCAGGCACTGTAAACTATTAAATATGAAGACTTCTTTTGATAAGATTCAAATTTTAATTTATTATAGTGTAAGATATTAGCTTTTTCATGAACACAATCCCATTGATATTGTACAATTTTTAATAAACTAGTTATTTTATGTACGAGGATAAGTTCTAAAAACTAAAACGTTAAGGTCTACACTCACATATTTCAATTTCAATTTTAATGCCAAATTGAGTGTGTGAATCAGAAATTGTTCCATAAGCTGGGCATACACACATCAGATAAGAAACTCTCAGGACTTGCTTCCCCTAAGCTCGGTGAACCTTTGAGAGTACTAATTTGGTTTTGTTGATTTCTCTCAATCATGGTGAGCTGATCCACAAAAGCTTTCAATACCTTTCTACTATCACCAGCCAAATTCAAATTAGGGTCCAAGCAAGAAGAATCCAGATCATACGGCGTCGTTCCTCCGCCGTATGTGGTCGTCACATTGTGGTTCTTGACAGGTACCAACAAATTTGGATCTATAATGCTCGTACTGCTTGTGTGGTTGAAGCTAGGGTTTGTTTGGATTTGCGAGAATATGGAGAAGCAGGGCACTTGCTCGTAATCGTCTTGATGAGTTTGAGCTCGAGCCTGTTGTTCGAAACTAATGTAAGAATCCATTAATGCAGGTAGAGATGAAGAGCCTGTCTCGTCGTAGTAGCTTCCCATGCTCTGTTTCGCTGAAGGTTCTCTGTCCTTGAGGAACGCCCTGCACAGAACCCAGTCCTCCTGCGCGGCAATGCAAATTCTATGTTAGAAGGTACAATTATGACTGAGTTGGTGATCTTTTGGCATGATTTATTTATGAGTAATCTTGGATTTCCGTGTCTTTACAGCTAAGGAATTTGGATTATCTTCTTAGGCTTACGTACATTATGTGTTTGATGAAAATTTGAAGAGATATCTTCTTAGGTCAGCCGCCAAATAACCAAACAATCTGTTGGTCATAACCAATGGCCATGTGAGACAAATTTTTAATAATAAAGAGGGAAGAAACATAATCTACAAGGACCGAGTCAAGGTAGCAATCACAAGTGGCCTCCATAATTTATGAAAAGAAAAATAATATTAAAGATAAAATAAAGAACATAAACCATTGAAAAACAAAAAGGAATATGCTATGAAGATTCAAAATGGTTCATTGTCAAAAGACTCGACCATTTGGTGTGAACAAAAAAACAAATTAGATTCCTCTTTTATCTGACAATTAAAGAAAAAAAAATTAAATGTCTATTCACCTTAAAACAAAATAGAAAAACTAACAGGAAATGCGAAAGAGCTAGTTTGGTGGATGATAACGAATAAAATGTCTCTATTATCTCGAGAAGAGAGGATTTACTTTTCAGTAAGTTGGAGGACATGACATCCCTCACAATAATACGCAGAAAAAAATAAGAGAAAACTGACACAACAATTAATCACGTAAATTAAAATACTATATACTAAAGTTTATTATACCTTGGCTGAAGAAAGTTTAGGGGGGCCAAGGGGACCTTCAAGGCGAAACTCATGCATGACCCATTCGGTCTTTCTCCCTTTGGGTGCCCTTCCTTGATAGAACACCAAAGTCTTCCTCATGCCAACAAGGGTGCCCTTGCGAAGGATAGGCCTGTCCTTCCCCGTGGCCTTCCAATAGCCTGAGGCAGTGGCACGATTGGTGCGTAGGCCTGTGGCATACTTGCGGTCTCGCTGTGTGTAGAAATACCACTCCTTCCCACCTACACATGCTGCCTCTGCAAAACCATTAGTTCATGATAGGTCAACATAATCAATATATATATTCTTAAAATATTTAAGAAGTTACACTATTCAAGCTCCATACAAAACATAGAGTCACAGTCAAAGAGTGATTTAAGCTTGAGATGGCTGGTAAACACAGTGATTTCAATTGCGAAAAAAAAAAAGAGAGAGCTCATGGAAAGAAAGCTGCTTGATCAATGAGATGTGAAGGAGTTTTATTCCCACGTAAACTTATGATTAAAAAGAGACTGTCAATACATTATCTATTGATGTATAAAATAGTGATGTTCGCATGCTTTTCTTTGACAAAGTAGAGTAATAATATTGATGGTAGCAGGGTAGGGAGAAATTCAAAAGCGATAATAGACTAAGAGATTAATTTCATAAAACGAAGACCTTTAATAGTGACCAAAAAATAGTTTGACAAGAAAAAGATTTTTTTTTTAGGATAATATTATTATTGTTTTAAGTTATGGTATTTGTTTGGAAGCAATTATTGCATATCTCCCTTACTGCAAATAATTCAGATAACCATTCATACAGGCCCCATGATTCTAGCCTCTTTCCACTAATTTCTTTTGTATCTTTTGATTTGTCTATCATTATCCTTTTCAACTCTGATATGACATGGGAATATAAAATACAGGACTAATTATGGAGACTTCATTGTCAAACAGTCGTAATATGTCGAAGTAATGTAAATGCTGTGAACATGTGGCCAAGCACACCAAAGCATTAATGTTGACACGTCTATCTCCCTCTAAAATACTGTGCCCAACTTCTAGATGTAGAATTTCATGTAGAATGAATTAATATTGCTTACTTTCCAAGTTGTTACTAACTTTGAAACATCGATGTTATAATTGAAGAAATTATTAAGAGAACGGACGAAAAAAATCCAATAGAAAAAAAAGAGAGGAAAAGGAACAAAAATTTGAAGATTCTTCTTGGGGTCGAGAGGTTAACTCCTTTTCATGTGAAATGCCATAGCTGATGGAGCATCGGGATAAGACTGATAGGATACAGCGAGGATGAAGGTGAGACTTGCTAGTTTGATTTCTTTCATATGAAATTCAAGTTTTTTTCATTGTGATATTCATATGAAATTGAAGTCTAACAAGTTCATGGACGTGCCCGTGGGTTGCTATATCAATATCAATATCACTATCAAACACTTTATAATAGGACAAGCTCAATCTGTCAATTTAGTTAAAAAGCTTTTGAAGGTGATGTAAAACAGTTAAACCATATATGCTTGACCTTTGTAGTTCCCGTTCAAAGCTGCTAGCCTTTACTGTATAAAGTCCTTTCCAAGGTGTATATGCATGTATTTATACCCATATAAAAATATAATCTTTTTAACAACATACATAATTGGAAAGAGCTCTATAATTCAGTATACATGGATGGCAGATTTCATAACAAAAAACTACTGTTTTGATATAATTATTCTTTATTAGAAATTAACTGATATTTCAGCCTGTATATAAATCAAGCTGAAATCGAAACAAAACTTGGAAAACCCATTTACAAAAATGAAGTTCATGTCCTCATTACATACTTAGAAATAACTTTTTTCCCAAAAAAATCTCTCTCCCTCTATATATGTAAGAGTTGACATATAAACTAAGCTTCACGCATCTTAAAATATAATAAAATTTATTATACCAAGAAAATTACAATGCGTCAAAACATAAGTTATCAGCATAGTTCAAACTGGTCACGGGAAAAGATAAAAGTGTCATTCTTCTGTTAGTTTTTGCAGGCAGGGTAAGTTTTTTAATTTCCATATCTTTCATTTTTGGCATATGGCAGCAGATAACTCTGCCTTGTATCATCAGTCAGTCAGTCACAGTTTGCAGGTATTCTTTCCCTATCAATCACATAAATGAAGCGATCAGACTACACAAGTAAACGAAAAAATGGGATCTATTAATAGCCATTCCAGTTGCTATCGCTTCACAGCCATAGAATTTTTTTTTTTTTAAATCGCTTCTATGATATTTTGGAAGGCAAAGATTACAAAATAGCAGAGCGCCTGAAAGTAACCATGCCATTTGTACTTTACCAACCAGAATAGAAAACTTAGATGGATCAAACAAGCCCATACTTAGTGGTATGTGAGCTGCCTAGTGTAAAAAGAAGAACAAGCAGGAAAGCCTTAAGAAACTTGGTTCAATTGCTGGCCCTTCTCATGTTTATGAGAGATCAACGAAACATGTAGAACAATCACGCATATGAGAGGCAAGAGAATAATCTGAGATCATGGTGCTGAGGGAATTGAAGGGAAATAAGAAAGTACTCACCAGGGATGTCCCATGGTTCGCATTTGTTAAGATCAACATCAATCATCAGAGAGGAGTCACAGTGAGTCACCTTCTTCATTAAGTAATCACACACAAGTTCTTCATCTCTGGGATGAAACCTGAACCCAGGAGGCAACTTTGCCTCTACCATGCTTATGCTGCTCATTTTCTTTTGGACAGTGTAAAAGAGATATGAGAGCAAAAGGAAGAGAATTAGGAGAAGCTCAAGTGAGAGATATGAAAGATGGAAAAGGAGGACGAGAGAGGAGTATATTTAAATAGGGGAAACACAGCAGGTAATAGTCAACTAGTAATTCTGTGCAAGGCAAGGGGGGAAGGGTGGGATTGTATTAATATATATCCACACACACACACACACAGAATATGATGACGTGGACAAACCAATCGCTGCCAACTTGCTGACATGAATTTTTAAGTCTTGGGTCTGTTGCTTCATTTCATCTGTGAAGAATTTATGTGAATTAGATTAATAATAGATAATTTTGATTAGGCAAAAAAAATCGGCCAATATAAAAAAAATAGGGCTTGCTGGCTGTGATGACACAGTCTTTCGAGTTTTGTCAGTGTCTGCTTGGCCACAATCTTGATTTGTGGCATGGCTGCTCTGCTCTCTCTCCCTAATAAGTTCGTGTTTCTATTATATGGGTATATATTTAATAGGGAGAATCACATTCAAGTATATAGAGAGAAGCTTATTCACAGATAAAGATTATTAACAAATCCCATTAAAAAAGAATAAGTTCCTATTTTTATTTTAACAATAATCCATTTCATATTAATCTTTATCTATAAATAAGTTTTTTGCCAAGTCATTAGATGTAATTCTCCCTATTTAATATGGATGATGGGATTTTTTTAATATAAATTGGCAAATTGATGCTAAATAATACTCCCTCTCTTTTTAAAGATGCTTAATAAAAATGGTCCCAATTATAAGATGTCTTATAAAAATATGAAACAATATTTCGTTTTTCTCTCTGCAGTTTTACTGGTATTCGTTAAAACTGAGAAAGTATGATGGCTTTGCACAAATGACAAATCGTGCCTCCATTTTTATTGGCTACATGTCATAATAAATATATGTCTGTTAAGGGTATAATTGAAAAAGTAAGATTTTTTGGCAAATAAAGCAACATAATTACTTTTCTTAATTTGAATTAAAAAAATCTCAAATACCTTATAAAAAAACTAAAGAAAGTAATCTCTGGATGACATTTGTTGTTATTGAAACTGCTGGTCTTTGTGTAGGTAAGCTGGCATCCACTGGATTTTTAATGAATGACCTTTTGACAAAGTAGGAGTTTTTTTTTTTTTTTATTCGGTTAATATTTTAGTTTATGGGTCATCATGAATAATTCAGATTTAGTAAAAGACAAATTGTGGATAAGACATAGCCAAAGATTCTTTATTGCAATAAAATCTGATAGGAGGAGAGAGAAGTTAGGAGGTTAGGTGATCAACATCGTCATAACAGTTACAGAAGGGGTAATTACAAAATAACTGAAATCAAATGAATTTATTAGCTCCACCGTTAAAAAGGGGTCACTGGACTCTCTTTTTTAATTCAAAGATTTACTGTATCTTACGAAACAGAAACTACGATTTTGAAGAACCCAATTAGCATGATAAAAACACAAACATTATGTTAGGATATGATTAACCCCCCCCCCCCCCCCCCCTTTCTAGTTACCCTCAATTTGGCACAATAGTTATTCCCCTTTGAGAGAGTTGAATAGAGGACCGTTCGTTTTCTTCAAAACTTAGAAGTTAAAATAGGATGAGGCATGACTTGAAGATCTGCATTTCTTCGAGATGATATATTGATACTTAATATAATTAAGTAGATGTTTTATTTGTACATATTTTAAAAAGTTTCTTCATTAAATCCTTGAATACGATATAGTGAAATACATGAAAGATTCAAGACACTTTCTTGTGAATGGAAGTTTAGGTGAGTTCAAGACACTTTTCAAAAATCATAATCAACATGGAAATAAATTCAGTACAAAAAACATAGAAATAAAAACAATTTCATGTAATTTATTACAAACGTACTATAAATAAAATTTTAAATTTGGATATTTAAATTTGAAAAATAATTTTCTTCTGTTTATGCTGTCTGCCATTATCTGGTTTATACATGTTTCTTTTCATTGTCATAGGAAAAATATAGCGATGTTATATTTTGTAGGGGTAGTGCACCTTTTGTATATCTTGGGCTAAGCAGTAAGGGTAGTATTAGTGAAGGATATATAGTCTATATTTCACATATAAATTCATGGCGTGCATCTAAAAAATAAATAAACAAAATGGGAAAATGAAACCATTTTTCAAATAGTATGAACCAAAAAGAAAAACAAAGAAAAGTCTTCTCGTGAAAAAGCAAAAGATATTTAAATTTTTAAAAAATGCTTATCATAAAAAAGTAATAATAACTAGGAAAGAGTAACAATGGTATAAATAAATACTCCTCTAATCTTAAATTATAAGATATTTTTTAAAAAAATTTGACATATTAAAATATAAGATACTTTAACAAAATCAAGTTTTATTAATAATATTTTTTAATATTGCCCTTCTCATATATTCTCTCTTTAATATTTCATCTATCCCAAATTATAGAATATTTTTAAAAAAATTTTACCGTCTCAAAATATAAAAACACTTTGAATAAATTAAAATTTTAATAAATACATCAATTTTAATATTACCTTCTCTTTCTATAATTAATTGCTGTTCTTTTTCTTTTCAATATATTAAATGATAAACATTTTTAAAAGTTTATATTTTTATTTGAAAAAATAAAGTTGTTAATTGTATTTAATGAGATTTATTGATTTGTAAAATTTTGTCTAAAAATGTCTTATAATTTGATATGGAGAAAATATTATTTAACAAATGGAGTATTAAATGAGCATTTTTTTTAAAGTTTTATATTTTTGTTTTGAAAAAGTAAAATTAAAAAGTGTATTTAATTAGTTTTATTCTTAAAATATGAGAGTAAGGAGTAATAAGTAACACGTATTATACTGATGATCACACCCCATGATCAGCTTAGCTTGAGGCTTGACAATAACTTTGAGTAACTTCATAAATTCAGTCGTTCAAACCAGGAAAGTCAGAGCCATTTTTGTGACCTTTTCATCAAATTGATACCGAAAATCCTACCACGTGAGTGATTTGGAATTGGTTTGAAACTATCATTATAATATCCCAAACAAAAAAGTCTCAATATCTGATAAAAAATGACTCAAGGAACAAATAAACTTGAATGCAATGATTAAGGATTCTGCAACATTAGGGACTTGAACCCGCAGAAAAACCTTTCCAGGAAGGAAGTCGAGGCGGCCAAAAAGGGGGAAAAAGATTTAAGCATATTAAAAAAAAAAAAACATTTAGACAATAATCCGAAGTTAGGTGGGATCCAAATCCAAATGAAAAGTTGATGTTTCTCAAAGTCTATCATTTGACATGGAATTAGGAGGAGCAAATTGGGGAGATGGGTTGAGTCCACACGTGAATTTATTTGTCAATGCAACCTTTCTCTTCTCTCTCTAAGTCATCTTCATTGACAATCTTCCCGTAACACATTATTTCAATATTCAAACCTTCAGCGAAGGGGAATTGAATCCACGGATAGATATTAACTCAAGTCAAGAAGTAAATAGGGGTACCGGTCGATCATATGATAACAGAGGTCGAAAAAGATTCCCCCTCCCCCCTAAAAAGCACATCTTGGTTTCGGGGGTGGAGTGAAATGGTGCTTTGGGATCGCAAAGGGCATGTAGTGGGCAATGCTCAGGATTTAAGGGGTCATTGGGTTTGTATGATAGAATGAAATGAAAAAGGAAAGGGAATAAAGAAAAACTGTAACTTTTTAGATATGCTATGTCGTGTGTGTGTGTGTGCGTGTGTGTGTGTGTTTTTTTTTTTGGGGGGGTAAAAATTAATAACAACAAAATACTTGCTACTCCTCTCTGTTACAAAATTTAAGTTATATTTTAAAAGATTTTTTCCCCATAATGTAAGTCATCTTGTAGAATTCTGAGTAATTAATGATTCATTTTCGAAAAAAAAAATCCTAATAAGTTTCCAAGATTAACAATATATTTAGCATTTAATTAAAGTTGAAAAGTGATGACATTTAATGGATGCAAAATTAGAAAGAATAAATAATTTTTTATACATCAAATAATCTTCAGTGTTGTCTAAGTATCCATGTTTAGATAAATCAGGATTTATAAGTGGGAGCAGGGACAGAGGGAGTAGCACCTTTGGTGGATTATAACATCATGAGGGCAAACAATACTAAGGCATGTTTGGAAGGAGAAAAATATTTTTAAAACATAAACTGTTCTTAGTTTGTGTTATTTAAAAATGACTTGTATTGAGTAATGGAGGGAGTATTAAATAATGATTCAGATATAGTAAATATTTTATATTTCTAATCATGCATTGCAAAGAAATTACCTTGGTTTAGAAAACACTGATGAGGTGCTAGGCAGAAAAAACAAGTGGCGGCGAATTTGACCATCTCATAGTTTGTGGTTTGGTAAAATACTAAATGGAAGATCCCCCTTTTTAGGTGTCAAATTTCGGTGGGGATCTTCATGCATAGGGTATTGTGGCCGGTGCCATTTTCTTAAGTAGTTTAGAATGCGTTTGGCATAATTTTCTTGCTATCTTAGATCCTACTAGGATCTCAGGATACAAAAGCTGTTAGGCATATGTTATCTTTTTTTCCCCCAATATGTTATCAATTCTTTTTAATGAATATATTAACATGCAGAGAATTTTTTCAAAAAAAATAAAAAAACTCAATTAGGATTCTATATAAGAAAAACAGTTATGCAATATTTTCATAATAGATAAGTGCTACCTAATGTATGATGTCAATCATTGTGCATATCAAACACAAACATCTGGTGACATTTAAGAAACTAGATTAAATTGATAGTGTGCCAAACATTATCTCAAAAAATATTTTGGGACATTGAAAATTCCAAAGCTGGAAATTCAGAATTAGATGAATAGAAGTTAACTTTAAACTACCAAGTTTATCAGCAAATTCTTGCCTTGGTTATCAAGTAAGAGAGAGAGTCTTTTCAGGTGTGGGAGAGAGTAATTCTAAAACTAGGTTAGAGGGTAAAAATACATTCAAAACTCTTTTGGCAAGAGCATCCAGCATTATTAAATTAACAAAGGTGCAAGAGTATCTATGAATTTTTTTTTTTTTTAACAAGAGCATCCCTTCCCAAATCATTAAAAAAGAAGTAAACATAAAATGCAAAAATATTCACAATTTTTTTTTCTAATAGTTTATGGTATTTATAAATCAACAATATTACATGAATATCTATTAACTTTATAAAATAAATCAACGTTTTTCAACCTGTTAAGTTTTATTCTTAAAACTTAATGGTCAATGTCAATTTATTTTAATGAATTGAAAAAGATCAAAATCGATAATTTGAACTGAACTCAATGACTCAATTCAAATAAGCTCAAAAAATCTTATGTTCCAATTTGAGAGTTTAAAAAATTTTCTTTACTTTAATTATTAAAAAAAAATTCTTTACTTTATGTTTATTTGGGCCACTTAAATAAGTCAAAAGAAATTCGAACTAAACTCAAACCTAAATAGGCTTAGCCAAATACCTGAATTCTTGTTTATTATTAATTAATTAAAATTAAAATTAGAAAAGAATAAATCTTTTTATATAAAAAATAAAATTTACCCCAAAAAAGGAAAAAAAATAAATCAATATTTAACAATTCAAATATTTGGACCAACCTAAATAAATCTAGAAGCCTAAGATTTAAAAGCCAGACTTGATTATATAATGTTTTGTAAATGCTTAGGTATTTTAAGTCGGATTCAAGTATGCCCAGCTCAAATAAACTCATTACACTTGAATTACTGACTCTAAAAAATAACTTCTTTTATAAAGTTAATGAATGCCTAAAGAATATTGTCGATTTAAGGACATCAAAAGTTTTTGAAGAAAAATTGAATATCTTTGCATCTTATGTTTGTTCTCTTTTTCTTTCTTTCTTTTTTTTTTTTTAATGGTCAATGTTAACAGATTTTAATCAAATTTAAGAGTTCAAGAAAAGATGCCCTCATTAAAACAAGTTCATGAATACCTTTGCACCTTTATTAACTTAATGATGCCAGACACTTCTAGCAAAAAAATTCTTAAACATTTTTGCCCTTTTACCCTCTTAAAACTGTTGTTCTCTTTGAAACATTTTTTCTCAATGGCTTAAAAATTTTTATTCTAAGACCATGACTATATTATTTTTTTTAACCATTGGACTACAATTATATTGACACTTAAAAAAAATCTTTCTAGTATCTTAGAAAATGGACCTTAATCTGGCATACTTTGTCCATTTTAAATCAATGTAGTGACCAAGTCTCCCCCACCCAAAAACAAAAGGAAAAGAAATGAAAAGAAACCAAAGCATGAAATCATCATTGGTCAAGAGCAAATATATCATGGAATTTGGTATTCATGCAAGATAGAGGTGGCAAAAAAGGTTGGAAAACTACATTATCAATCGATTTTCATTTGATGTTTCGGGGCTTGCCAGAATGTGAAAAAAGAGGAACAGGGTTCTTTGGGATTGAGATCTGCTAAAGCACTTCATTTAAAGTTTGATGAAAGATAGAGGTATTGTAGATCGATAAAAAGTTCTATGAAAAAATGCTCATAAAATTTAGCGACAATGACAATTAAAAGCTTCAATGGTTATTTTTTTCAAAAAAAAAATTGAAGTAAAAATAAATTAAAATGACATTATCACATCAAGAAAAGTAAATTAAAAATTTTCAGACAGATTTGAAAAGCATTAGTCTTTAAAAACATTTTGATTTTCGGAATCTTTTAATATCATCTTTATCAAGTTTGGGTTCTTCAAATGAAATTTGGCCAGGAATTTAGTCAAAAGAAGTAGCTATACAATTTATAGAAGAACATATAGCTGGCGGGTTTCAGAAAATGCAAGGCTATTTCTCTACTTTGATATGTTGTTAAATTGCATCCCAGTCTTTAATTAAAATTGTCACACATCCATCTTGTCGAACCATCTCTAGAATCTTTTGCAACTTTTGGTTTGAGAATACAGGAGGGAGGGATGGACGATTTTGAGAGAGAACCAAAACCCCTCTATTCCCCCTTCAATCGAACCAAACTAAAGAAAATATATGTTTGGGAGAATGATATATACATTACTAAAGGACCAATTAATTCAAATTAAATTTTAAATATCAAACTCAAAATTTATAAGTTCATCTCTTAATTTTGCAATTTTGTTGAAATGAATTTACAGCTTGTATTTTAAATTTTAATAGAAAAAATGAATTTGTCTATTCTTCAACTAAGTTAAAATTTAGAACGCAAGTTACAAATTTATCTTAATGAAATTATAAAATTGAAAGTCGAATTTGTAAATTTTAAAGTATGACAATTGAAATCTTATTTAAATTAATTCATCTCCTAGGAGCCTCTCATTCTCCCTAAAAATTTCTCCTCTTCCCCTCCCTTCCCATTAGGCCACATAGTATGTGAAAGTACTTGTTGGGAATCTTGCACCAATAGAAGTTCCCAAAAAAAAAAAGAAAGAAGAAAGAAGAAAGAAAGAAAGAAAAAGAAAAAGTAAAAGTAAATATCTACCGTGTATCCACATCATCGTATTTGGTCTTTTATATATAAGTATTTTTAATTTCTTATGAATAAATTTTTCAAAAAAACTACAATTGATAGGAAAAATCACTCTCACATCCCCACAAAAGAAATTTAAATACAATTTTTTTTATGAAATCTCAAAATTACTCTAAAATCCCATATTCTTTATTCAATTTATCAATTTTTGCTGAATAATTATTGATTATTGCCGCTCAATTGTCCTTTGAATAATTCAACTAACAGACAAATTTTAGTATACGTAACAAATTGACAACTTGAATATAGAACATAAGACTTTAGACTAATTTGATTTCATAAGATTTTTATTTATTTAAATTTCTTGGGTAGGACCTAAAAGTGATTTTCCCTGATTTATAACACTTTATGAAGGAATAAGTTAATAAATATTTAATGTGAGATTAAATTATTAATATGAATAAGAAAATACATAATTAATACAAGTCATTCTTCGAATTTCATGCAATACGGGAAAACAATTTTAAGGGATGTCACATTAATAATTAAGATATAAAAGACTAAAGAGACACTTCAAAATAAAATCGTAATCAGTATAATAGGACTGCATGATAAACAGAGAGGTTTCAAGTTCAAATAAAATTTTTCTTGTCATATCCTTTTAACAAAAAATAGCAAATGCAGTGAAATTTTCTATAATATTTATTGCGTTTAAGGGCAAACTTGTCCTGAAAATTTTTCTGCTAGATGCAATGAGTATTCTTAACTTCTGATTAGTGCAATGTTATATCAGATGTTTTAAAAAAAAAATGATGCAATGTCTCCCTAAAATAACACTTCACCAATGTTAATTATTATTTTGAGTGTTAAAAGGAAATTTTGCCTCAAAAATTTGTATGAATGAGTAATTTGTAATCTAAACTTTTAAATGGCATAATGATTTTTGATTATCAACTTTCAAATCAAAAAAAGAATTTAGGTTGAATAGAATTGAATGCCTCCAAATTCAAATCCAAGCAGTCTATGTTGCCTGCAAATAAGTCTAAACAAGTTTGTATTTAAACATGTGCAAGCCAAGACTTGTTTATGGGCAAAAGACTAAACTTCAAGAAAAAGTCTGTAAAGCGCTCAAGGAAAAATTCATTTTGCATCAAAGCAACTTAGGATAAAACTTCATCTCAAAATCTAAAAATATGAATCATTTGTAACAATGATAATGGGTTGTTATAATTTTCTTCTAATTTGAAAATTAATAACTCAAAAACATTGCTTTAATAGAAAGTTTAGAATACCGATAGCTCTTTTATAAAAACTTCCAAGGCAAAACTACTCTTTAATTCTAGTCAAAATTTTCAATTAACAATCAATGCTAGTTAAACTTTACTTTAAAGCAAAATTGCACCATTTTTTATACTTATGGAGTAATATTGCACCAATTAAAAGTAAACAATACTAGTTGTATCTAGCGAAAAACTATCAAGATAAATTTGCAGTGTAATCCATATTTATTTAGTGCTCAGTTCTCATTTGTAAATAGCATTTATAATTTTTAGTTAATAAGACTAGATAACATTTGGCTAATAAGGTAGAAACGTTATGATAGACACAAAATCAAAGCATATAGAACGAAACTATGAACCTCACCGAATGACACCGATGGGTGGATTGGATCACATCCTCGTTTCCACACGACTCTTTGATTCAATGTAACTCCCTCAAAAAATGGAGTCTGCGGTCAAACTGAAACTGGAAAGTGGGGACAAAAGTACCACAGACATGCGGTGGGTGGGTCCAAATAATATTTTGTCCTCTAACAAGAATTCACCATAGATTAAGCGGACATTTAATTTTATATGCAGAATAAAAATGTTCTGTGAATAAAAATATATTTTTTTATCTCTTAGTAGAAAAAATAACAATAAATAATTAACGGAATGAAGAAAATGAGTCATTTTCTATCAAGCACACCAATGAGATAGATTGCAGAGAGATGAGTACTTTGCATAAAGTCTGCTATGTAAAGCTCCACACCATTGCCATGTGCTTTTCCGTTTTTTCTTCAAGGAAAAAAGTTTATGCCATCTAATTTCTTTGTTAACAAGAGAGAGTAATCGAACTATTTATTAATTCATCGACATACTATTTCCAAAAAAGCAGCTATCAAGTGAAAAATAAATAATAATAATAATAATAATATTAGTATTATTATTATAATCTCTCGGCCCAAGAAAAGAAAAATTCCTAGAAGCAGAGTTTAGAATGCGACAGAGGCATCAGTAAAAGACACGCTAAAGTCCTATGATAATTTAATTTCAAAGTAATCTAGAGTCGGTCAATGCAGTATTTGAATAGCCAACCAAGAAAAAGAATAGTAATCATTAGAGGTTACGACATGAAGTCCATATATGGAGAAGGATGGTGCCCAATTACCTTGGAAACGATAAGAACATGGCCTTGGATATGCAAATTTTCCAATCGACAAAAATTTATTCCCTCCTTTGTTTTGAAAAGTCTAGGAGGACACTAGTGACTGCCCTCCCTGAATCCATTGTCCCTGTAACAATCAAAGATGGCTGCACGATCAAACTTTTGACTAATTCATGAGAGTGATCTTGTGCCTATCTGAAACCACTAAAGTGAAGTTAGTTCCGGATGAGATGTGTGTAACTGTGTATCATATAAAATCAGCCAGCCATTTCTCTTTATGGTGATGGCTACCTCTCATGGCATTTTTCTTGCTAACAACAACATATAATGGAAGAAATAAAGCATATTCAGTAAAGTCAAAAACGACAAAGTTATTTCAACCAGGGACACGTAGAAAGCCTTGCGGGACTGCCATTTGTAACTAAGCCATACACGCCTGAGACGTTTAAACTTTAAACTTAGTGCAAAGCCAAAACACAGCTTGCTAATCTGAGGTCCTAGTCTTCGATTACCTTTCAAACAGTACAACCACTATTGAATCTTGACAAAAGAGAAGTTCTCGCCTCCTCTGGAAGTGCCACTTATGATAGAGATACTACAAGCTCAATAAACCAAAACGGATAATCAAACTAGATTTTCCTAATTCAGTTGGACAATTGAAGCACAAGTATATCCGCAACCTGATCGAAGCTTAACAAATGAAATGCGAACAAATTTGCCTTTGTCCTAAAATCATGATAAGAACTAAGAAAACAGGTTGATTAAATACCTAAAGGAAATTTTAAATGATTACGTCATTACAGCCTCCCTGGCATCCCACTCACTACATCCTTCATGCGCCACCTGTATGCAGTTATAATAGCCAGCTATGGGTTAATTTACTTAAATATCTCCTTCTGTATCAGTATAATAGATAAGATCCAAAAGGAATATACTCTATGGCAAGAGGCAACCCATCCCAAAGTATAAGGAGTGCTCGAGTCAAGTCTTTTTATTATAAAAGCATTATGAACTCAGGAATAAAGTCATACAACTCTTAATCACATTAATACGTGACAAATAAACAGATAGGTCCACCACTTCTGAAATAAAATTTTCCATTCAATCTGGTAGAAAATTCAACTCCTTCATAGGACATGAAACCATAATCTCTAAATATACAAGCATGAACACAAAGTCATGCATAAAACCTCAATCTTTGAAATCACTTTATAAGAGTAGAAAAGAGAATGAAAGGCTACAATATTCAGAATTAATTAAAGGACTCCAATTTGAACAAATAGAACCATGTATTGTTTTCTATCAGAAGTCAAAACAGATTCTTCCAAAAACAAATACTAATGTGTCCCTCATTTGCACTCCTGGAATCCATGCAGCAATGACAAACCCTCAGAATTATGACTCACGGGATTGGAACCATTCATTGTTAAAGTCTAGTCCTGATTCCTTCTGTGAAAAGACTAATCAACGGACCAGGGATTCTTCCATCATTGCATTACGTTTTCTGGAAGAACACCTAGATTTAGAGTATGTAAATATAAACTTGATCCAGTGTCAGGTAGAATCCAGAAATGACCACTTAATTGATCATGGCAAGAAAACCAAAACAAATTAGGAAGAGGGAATAGATAGCCGCAGCTTACATAAGATCTTAATTTTTTCTGGTTAAAACTTCTTTTATTCAGAGCAAAATCCTTTTATTACCTAATTCTGTCAAGATGGTCCTTGATTTATTCCATTTCCTCTCATTCTCTCTGGCTTTTTGGCTCTCTTAACTTTTCGAGGGAATATTTAAGAATCCTGAGGAGACAATTTCCAATCTGAAATTGAGAAGTAAAATTGAAGTTCATCAGATACAGCATTGTTTTATCGTGCTTTGCTTTTTCTTTTACCAACTTGATAGAGTAACTTCAATTGAAACTACACAATATAGTGGCTAAAAGAGTTAAACCATCATTTCGAGTTGCAACAGGCATGTACCAACTGGCTTCTGTTAGTTTTTTTTTTTTTTTAATTTATGAAACCCAAGCCAGTATGGGCAGTTTAAGTCCAAAACAGAGTCGTATATCCTACTCAATAAAGTATCTAGTGTGTCTATTGTTCGGTGACAGAACCAGATTGACAGGTTCAGCGTGGGCTGCATGCAAAGGGTTCTGACCCGTGCAAGATTGAGTGATAAAGTTCAGCTGCCGAGACACTGGGTATTCAATGAGCTTATCTATGACGTATAATTAAGAGTTTTTCTTAATTTTTGGGTTAGATTTATTACATTCAGACATACATGTCGTGTTATATTTCAAGCTATTTTTTATTTGACATTTTCTGATTCCTAATTTAGAAAGATGCTTTCCGGTCTGTGATGTACATTACAATTTAACTACCATGCTTAGAATCCCTTTCTTTTTGCGGTCACCACAAAAATATTCTTTGGTCCAATGCAATTGATATGCCAACATGTCAATAAACAAAATCAACAAAAAAGATTCATATTGAGAACTATTCTAAAAATAAATGCTAATTTCAAAACCTTCTGGTGGTGTCAGTTATGCTTCAAGGCAGATGAATCGCCCTCCAAACTTTTGCAAATAAACTTATACAGATCCTGCTTAAGAAACCGAAGGTGAAACAAACTAGATAGAAGAAATGGGAGAAACTGTGATTAAATAAGAAAAGTAAATAGCAAACAGAGAGGAATCTACATTACCTTTTAGTAACATTAGGATTCCAAATCCATGCCAATCTTTTTTGCAATTATGGCCACATTTCGAGGTGACAAGCTTGGATCAAAAATTGGTACTAGGTAGGCTTCCACAACACTACCTTGCTCTTGGAGGAACAGTAGTCTATCAAGAAGGATTAGGGTTTCTAAAAGAGGCCCCAAAGCAGCTCTGAGAGACCAATAAGGTCCTATGAGATCCTGTGCACGGTTGCTGAACTAATTAGCACCAGATCATTCACTTTTGCCAGAATAAAGGTAGAATTACATTGAACTTCAAAGACACTGCTACAGCTAAGGCATTTTCTTGATTATAGACCAGCAAGTTGCAATGAATTCCACATAAAAATATAAGCAAGCAGTGCAACCATGTGTTTGATAAAATATAAGAATTACACTTTAGTCCCTAGGCCATCTATGTACCATAATCCTTTACCTATTGCTACACTTATCCAATGTGTCAAGTACAAGAACACAGATATAAAGATGAACAAAGAAAGATTTCCGAGAACAGGATTCCAAATACTCTCCCTAGAAAATTAAAGCTCTTACATCAAATCAATCAAACCGATTCCCATCTTGACTCAGGAAGAGGATCACCACCATGACACTTCATGGAGGTTGAAAAGTTTTATCAAATTATTTAAATCCAGTACATAACCTTTTTCCTTAAAGAACACATGTAACACAGACTTCCTCCAGCAATCACCATTAGTGTTCGAAATGGTAACAGCATAGCCATCAAACATAGGACTAAATGGCTAATACAACCACCCTCATCACAATCTCATAATTTGGCTTTGTCCACTAATATTACATGCAACCCCCCATGTCTATAAATTGGGCAATGATTTATCACAGGACCTAAGTTTTTAAGTTCAAATCTTCCCATCTATGCTGGCAGATCCTACCAATCCCACCACATTGAGTTTGAAATCTCTCCTTACTTTCTCAAAGAAATTTCATTCAGAGCTTAAACAACCTTTCGAACACTGATATTACAAAACGAAGAATAAATAAAATACTTCATCAAACTTCACAATTTAGCCTTTTAAAAAAAAATGCTTTCCTTTTATCAAAAGATAAGGGTATTTACGACCAGGAAGCTCAATTTTTATGACTACAGAATATCATGAACTTCAATTTAGATCCTATCTAGAATAAAATCAACAAATTTGACAAATACAATTAAAAAACAATAACAAGCAAGTTGTAATCAATTAGCATTAATAGGAAAATCAAATCCTGCACAAACTAGGGATAAACCCCACATGCATCATAATGACAACAGTACGGTTTATTAGAAGATATTCAGCATAAATTTACATACAGTAAATGGCTCCGCTTCCTTCCATATCTCTTGAAAGTCTATATTATGTGAAGGCCTAATCCCAAGATGTTCTAATCCAGATTCACAGAAGTCCTTGAAAAACAAATATATATCCTCAAATTTGGTCTGCTCACATCCAGCTCTTTCACTATAACTAGCTTTACATGGCAAGGCCTGTATTTCCAATGCTGAGCCCAAAATCCCATCTGCAGAACATTTAGAAATGTGGCGTTGTTTATCCATGATTTAAATGCTCCAAACAGCACCAGAATCAGTAGGAGTTACAATAACTAAGCATATACATAGAATGCCAAAGGACACACAAAGTAGGTGGTATCAACTTAATTCAGGATTATCTCTCTCTTCTCCCTCTCAAATTTATAGTATTCCAAAATCTTCAATATTAGATGAAATGTAGGCCGAAAAAGGATTTCAAATTGTAAATACCAGTTGAGACCTCTTGAAAAGACAAGATTTCAAAGTACCAGTTTCTGATTCTGCTGGTTTTATAGCCAGTGATGAAGTAACTTCATGAAGATGCCTTTGAGACTCAACAACTCTTCTCTGATGTCGACGACGTAAAGCTTTCCCTTTTCGTCCAATTGATGGAGTATTCATCATAGCTTCAGGATAATATTTAGAAAGAACCTTCAGAACCAAAGTAATATAAATTAGAACAGAGGATATAAGACATAGGAACAAAATGAAATGTTTATAAAGAACCAGTAAAGAAGGAAGAATCATCTCCTGGTTTGGAAGAGAACACAAGAGTAGTGAATCAACATAGAAATCTTTTGTAGCGCTATTGAGAGATGATATCGGATAATCACTCAATAATTTTGCACAACAAAAACACACCACCATAATCAGCAATGTAGGCAAAATGTATCAGACAAAACTAAAGCACAACGAGTGTCAAATATTCTTCATGTCATCAATGTTATTGTGGTAAAAAAATTGTCATCAATATTATTTTATTTTGTCATTTTTCAACTCTCTGATACGCAATGAAGTGTTGATCCATGAAACACTTTGATAAAAGCAACACAAAATGCAAAACTGAAAAACAAGTGGGAAAAAAGGCCCATCATGCACTTCAAGAAAGAGTTGAGGGAGGGAGAGTGCATTTTGGATACTAGTTATATCATTCACGCATCTTCACCCATGTGTATCGAGCAAGGTACTATGAGGGGAAAGTCTATATTACAGCATATGTCTATCAAATATGTATACATCTTCCAGTATAAGACATCATATTAATGGATTTCTGCGCACTTGAATAACACTTATCCTACCTTATTCCAGCAAAAGTTTAGGATTTACAAGCAAGAAAATTTAGATGAAAGCTTCTCATGACTTTTGTGTATGGAAGCACTACTATATAAGGAGATGATGAAGGAAACGCAACCAGGGAAGAAAAAAAAAACTACATGGTTAACAATATTATTTATATTTCAAAACTTAGAATAGGGTGGAGAAAAATCAAGGGAGCTATACAAAATAGGCAACCAAAATTTTATACCATTTGAAAAGCAGCACGAAAAGCATGCAACTCAAAGTTATGAATGCCAGCGACCATTTCCAGGCTCCTCCATCTCTCTGCACTCTGGTGGAAACCAATTATGTAGATGGACGGTCATTGCAAAATTCTTCATTAAGTTTCATCAAAATGACTTTTAATCTTTGGAAAATAAATAGATGAGTTCACAGAAACTAAATTCCAAAAAAGGTCACCAAAAAGATAGTTATAACAACCATTGCATTGTATATATCAAGGTCATTCTGGCCTATGTTATTTCAAATATAAGTGCTTCCATATATCTTTACTTTCCTCCCTCACTTTGGCTAGGTACTTTGCAATGTCTGCTACTACAATGTAGAAAGAGGACACTGGCAAATAGTCTTTGTACCTGGCAAGCAAGATCGCGTGCACTTTTACCAAGCGATGAGCCAATGGATCTTAGAGCATGACTCATTGGATACCCACACTGAGATCCAGCATCCGTAAACCTTTCTTCAGATAGTAAGTTGTAACAGCAGCCAATACTCACCACAGCTGTAATCTCTTTGCACTCTAAAAAAGTCCTAAAAATGAAACAACAGGAAGAATTACAATTCCGCAGTCCGTATGAGAACACTGAAACAATGTCGGTTACTACCAATCAGGTTGTTAAATGGTAATCATTAGTACATGGAGAGAAAACAAATAGTGAAGTTCGATAGTATAAAGAAATGCTATAGAAAAATAAATGTTCAGAGTAAGGATCATTAAAAAGAATCAAATATTAATCAAGAATGAAATGACTTTTTGGAGAAAAGTTCTCTCAACTCCTTCCTCTAGTTGTAATAGAAATTAAAAAACTGAGGAAATTTCAGTTTAATATAATTTATATTTGAAAGAAACAAAAGAGGCTTCAAGCCAATTTGTAGCACTTACTTCAGCATAGTGACTGAAAGGTCACCACAGGCATGAAGCCCAGCAAGAACCAATGAAGTTCTTTCATTTCCATATTTGGGACAATGGAGCTTCCCATTATCTGCATGATTTTTACCCTTAAACAACTGGTCATCACCATCTCCACGCAGAGACATTTCAGTCAAGTCTTTCAAAATGTCAGTGGACAATACACAACTTGTAATTGTCTTTGGTCCTTTCAAATCTCGTATACCTGATCTTGAACAAATAAACACAAAAATCAATTAGAGAGTATTGCAATCATCATTTTATAGATCAAAAGCTCTATAATATTAACTTCGAGCAAGAATTACAAGGTTAAAGTTGTCTTCATTATACTAACTCACTCCTAAAAATACGAACTTATTACATGCAACTACTGCCATGCCAGAAAGAAAAAAGAGATGACTAATCCAATTTAAACAGCATATGAGCTAGAAATTCCTCACATACATAATGTTCACTTCTTTCCTAGTCACTTGCCTCCTGATGATGCTACATATATGCATATATATATATATATATATATCTTTAAGAGCATACTAGATACTCCTAGTATAAGAGAGCATTACAGAAAAAACATAAAGGAACACATACCCAGATTTTCTCATCTGAGATGCATAGTACTTTTTAATTCGTTCTGCTCGCGCATCAGTAACACTTCCATGATGTGAGCATGCATCAATTGCAACAACAGAATGCTGGTAGTGAAAGGAAAGTACTTGGGCAAGATAACCCTAAAAGGTGAATAAAAAAACAGAATGATGAAAATATAGATAAGCAAAGAGCAACAGTAATGAAAGATATGCACACAGCTATGAATATATTGAAAGCTATTTTATACTGAACTAATACATGTACTTTCATTTTCTATTTCATGGGATTTATTGCTACAACCTAGGGCTTTCAGAGAAGAAAGTTGCTTTGATCCACGTTCCAAGCAATCCAAAACTTAAGCACCTCATCCATGGGGAAAGCAATCTAGAGGAAATCCCACCCTTTAGTGACAATTTAATAAGAAGGAAGAACATGCTCTTTTAAAAATGTTTTCCATGTCTCGCACCCAGCAGGTATGAATCTTGTGCTCCTGCATCAGCACTGTATAGTTCAATAGAGCAGTCCAGCCACACTACAAGGGCATGAACTGGACTCTTTAATATTTTGCAGTTTTAAACTAAGACTTTGAGACATAGATAGCTAGGTGAATACAGTATTTCTAGGGTTTAGGAACCTCTCAATCTGAAATTTAATATGATGGCCAAGACAAATTAGTCATAAAGGCCAATGTTATACTAGAAGACTCTAACTTGATGAGACTAAAAACAGTTTCCTGAAATATGTGTAGAAGCATAAGCAAAAGAAGTTAAAACCACACCTGACCAGCACCAACATCAATGATGGTATGAGCTCTCACACTGTTTGCTATTGAACTAACAACAGCAGAAAGAATTTCCACCTGCACATGTATTTTCCATTCATATTAATGTTCCAGGCTTCTAAATTCACTGCTCAAGAAGAAAAGAATTCTAAATTCTCAATGTTTCACATCAACATCTGCTGAAATCATAAAGAACAGAAATGCATCAATGAGTAAACTACTTCATGTTTTTTCTTCAAATTCATTCCATGGGCAAGAACACTGTTAAGTGAAGTCATCTGCATGCTAGGTGATATCTGCAACAAGACATAAGATCATTAACTAGGAGTACACATTTGGAAACTCTCAGAAGACGAATTTAAACAAGATCTAGCACAAATATTGAAACGAGAGGGAAATGCCCAGGTGAAGATCATATACTGCTTGCATGTCTGCCTGTTCTCGATGAAGCACCATAGACTGCAATTTTAGGATGAAAACCTTCAACGAAGTAGGCCAGTGCTCCTGTGTTCATTGTATTTAAGATGGCAAAATCAGAGTATAAGGCATCCTTCCAAAGAAGCAAAGAGAAGACAGGACAGATGCAAGAATAGGAAAACATCAACACGATAAAGCCCACAATTCTTGCCATATATCTTTCAAAGAGAAACTATATCTAATGATCGTCTGAATAATGTAAAAGCTGCCTATATTATTTAAACCCATGAAAGTGGCAAGAACAAGAGCTTCAGTTTAAAATCTATACCATTTTCATCCAATTAGATAAACGCAGTGAGACAAAGCTTTTCACTTCTTGCTACTCCCCAGACCTCTATAATGGACCCATAATATTATTCCCGATTTGGAGGGCAAGCCCAACGCTCACTGAATTGCCAAGGAGGCATGGACGAATTAATGAATGCATCAAAAAGATTGGCTAATAATAGAACTGGTTCAAAAACATTTAAATTAAAACTGACTCTGCAAATCTATATTATTTGAAACAATATCCAATTATGCTTGGTTTGTCCAAAATTCAAATTTAGATAAGTTTGACATCATATTATATTTAAGTGAATGATTTCTGAAAGAGAGAAACAAGAAAAATATTAGTTTCACCAAAAAGTTGTCATATAATATAAGAAATTTTTTATAGGAAATTGTTTGAACTAATTTTAACTTAATAAGTGGTGATATAAGAACTAATTCCCGAATTTAAGTGATTGCCAGACACTGTAAGTTTTAAAACAGGGTCTTCTGTAGTTAAGTGGTTTATAAGACTAAAATAAAATGCCCCTGATAAAGACAACAGACAATGCCAGAAGTGCAGGCTTTATATCACCCACCTCACTCCACACAATTACGAAACAAGAGAAGCAACAAATGGAGGAGTTCCCCTCTGTCTTTTGAATGATAGTTGCTTGGTTCTCACTCACAGGTAGGGAAAAATTACTCCTCTCATATAGTTCACATCAAATTGCATAGACTTTTTTCCACTCAATTAGATTGTTCAAAGAGTAAGCCAACCGAAAGTTGCTTTTAAGAGGCAAGACGAAACGAGGTGACAAGAACATACCTGTATTACTCCAGAAGGAATCAGGAGGAGATTTTCAACAGATTCTCTGCGCAGGCAGTCAATCCATTCCTCGTCAACATTCTCCCAGAGTCTATCCTGAAGTAATATTATAAGCAAAACGTAGAACCAAACAACAACGAAGATTATATTCTGATCACACTAGAGCATAAAAACGGTATATATTGCCTACTATGAAATGAATTAAGCACAACCAATAGATTTCTTTTTTTTATTATCATCAGTAGCTATTATTTTCACATCGATCATATTATCAGTCGTCCAAAGCATAAAATTTCACAAGCAACTAGGCTATACTAAATGTGAGCTTGTTTCTATATGGACCTAATACCTAAAATCATGCAGTTTCCTACATTTTCTCAGCATCCAAATAGAGGTTTGTAGAAGAAAGAGTTATCGATATGAACCTTGAAGAAGTCGACGACATGGGCATTGATTAAGAAGATGTAGGGGACGATGAAGTCGATGATGGCGTGGATCCATGCGAGAGTATCGCCAGCACTCTGGCACGAATACTTGCACTTGCCAACCATCTCCACTAGTCTCTCTCGCGCGGGAGGGGAAGGTCTTCGCTGCGTCTCCATCCTCTCGCAAACCAATCGGCCGCGTTTGCTTGGTGATGTGAAAATTACTAGTTCCGAATGAAGTCAGGGAAGCATCGGAAGAATGATAAATAAATTTTTTAAATGAAAAAAATAATAATTTAATTCTATAAAATGTGACAATGCTTGTAAATTTTAAAAAATGAAATTATTATTAAAGTTTTTTACAAAATAAAAAAATATTTAATTTTAAAAAATAAAAAATGGTGAGGAAGAGTTGTAAATATGCAAACCATTTTAGTTTTTTATTGAACCAAATTTGTGAATTCTAAAATTAAAGTTGTGAGTGAATAAAGTTTTGTTGCACTCTGTTGATTAAAGAAAAATGATAAAATATAATTGTAAATATCTAAATCACTTTAATTATTTATTGAATCAAAATTATGAATTTTTAAACTAAATTTGTGAAAAAAAACTTTACTATTTTTTTATTAATTTAAAAAATGATAAGAAAAAGTTATAAATACTCAAATCACTTTAGTCATTTGCTAAATTAGAATTTTTAATTTCAAACCTAAAATTATGAGCAAAAATTTTTTTTTTGTTTTTTAAAATTAAGATACTTTTGTCATTTTATCAAAAATTTTAATAACAATGAGATCTCTTAAAACTTAAAAGGCATTATTACATTTTAAAAGATCAAATTATTATTTTCTTATTTTAGAGGGATTTATTTCCCATTTCCTTCTTATTTATTACATGGTAAATTTTATAAATTTTAAAGTTTCTATTAATATGAATTCAAATTTAGTTAATGCTTATTTGATTTTTTTTAAAATAAGTTATCATAAATAACATGAATACTCATAAATTTTATATTGTATACAAAAATTATAATATCGATATCTAACTAAATCTTTCTAGTTGTGCCAGGTTAAGAACTCAAGTCAGATTGTTTAGATTTATAGACATTATGTCATCATTGCTGCGCCTCACGTTAAATTAAAAATTTTCAATAAAAGTGCAAACTACAAACTGTGAATGAAAATAAAAATGGGGGAATTGTGGTTTTGTTGTTAGAAACAATCTTGTTACAGGAAAATCCTAAAATATTATTTGGTTGCAAACTATGAATAAATACATTCATAAATTCACTACAACATTTTTTCTCTAAGCAATAATCTTATCTACAACAATTTTAAAAGTGTTGCTCAATATAGTCTTAAGCAACAGTTTTTATATATTGCTATTAATTCCCTATTTTAAACAATATACTTTTGGCAACATTTAAAAAATGTATAAAAATTTTGAATAGGCAAAAATAAAAAATGTTGCTTGTAAAAGTTCTTTAATGACAACATTTTAAAACTGTTCCTCATTATAATAAGCAACAAAAATAAAAATGTTACCTATAAATTTTTTTCTGGCAATATTTAAAATTGTTGCTTATTATTTTTTATGCATAAAAATTTATTTTTGATTTATTTGTATAATTTTTATATATACTTTTTTTATTTCCTTAATTTTTAAATTTATTATTTGGATAAATTAAAAAATTAATGTAACAATTGTGTGTGTGTAATATTTTGCATTATAATATCAACGAGTCTGCTTAGAAGAATGATTAGAGTTTTTTTTTTTTCAAGAGATTTAGGATTCAAATCTTAACTGGGAAAGAAAATATTAATGTTTGGCTTTTTAAATATTTTGCAATAATTTTTAAATGTTGCTTTTTTTATGTAATAAGCAACATTTCATGGTTTTGGGCAACAATTTTTCAAACGAAGTGGTTAAAGATAAAAAAAAACAATCTGTTACCTAAAGTAATTAGTAATACTCAAATTAAAAATACTTGAAAACTATTGCCTATTCCTTTAAGAAATATTTTTTAATCTTGTAACAATACTTTTGAAGTGTTTCAAGATAAGAAAAATATTGTAGTGATTATACTGTGCAAAGTTGTGAATAATTAATTTAAAACCTAAAAAATATTAAATTAACATTTTAAAGTTCAATATTATTCGCCAAAATAACATCACAATCTTTTGTTTAGAACTATGTTTGCTTTAGTAAAAGAGAAAAACAAAAAGGTGTGCAGAAAAAATGAGATTTGACTGGTCACCAAAGGGATTCAGATGATGAGGATGTTTCTTGGGCCAAAAAATAAAGACAGTGATGATGTTTCGTGGAGTGAATCCCAGTTACTCGAGATTTGTACCCCCTTGGTCTTCATATATAAAATATTTTAAATAAAATCATGTAAATTAATAAAAATTGATTAACTACTTAAAGTACCGTAACATTTCAGTTTCATCCTTAATCGTTATAAAAAGATTTTAAAATAAATTAGTGAGAATATTTATTTTTTCTCTTTTTAATATAATAAGGGTATAATAATCCCTTTAGTTAAAAAAACATGTTGGTAATGGCAACCTTTTATATTTAAAAATTAAAAAAATTTTTATATACAAAGACGAAGGGAGTAGGTAGAACGGCAACCGCATCCGTGTCTCACGAGCAGGCTTCACAATCGTTTTCATAGTGCGCAGACTGGAGACCATGCACATACTTGGCTTGGCGGCCACAAGGGTTAAAAAAGAAAAGGATAAGACGAGGAAAGAAAACTTGCGTGTTTCTTCCCACAGGGTCCAAGTAAAAGAGGAAAGTACGTCTATGAGCCAAAGCTTCACGAAATTCTTATTACAAAATCTCAAGAGTTTGATTTATTCGAATTGGATTTTGCCGTGAATCAATATGAACGGGCCTTAAGATTTAGCTTAGTTTTGAATTTGAAGAAAACTAAACTGCGGACAAAGTGGGTGTTTGAAAACCCATTAGGTTGGGTCAAAACTGATCAAAATAAAAAGATAATATAACTTTTATAAAACCTTGTTTCTTTGAAGGCATTTCAATAAGTTTTTACTGCGACTTTTAACAAATAATTGTCTTTGAGTGTAATTTTAGATAATCGTATGTTTGAAAAGGAGGCTGACTAAGCTAAAAAATTAAGAGCGCTTTTGCATATATAATTCATATCATAAGGCTAGACTAAGTAAACAAATCAATATTTATTATATTTTATATTATGATTAATTTATTATATTTTTTAATAATATATTGTTATATATTAACGATAAACTTCTTATAAATTTTTAAATTTTTAATAATAAACTCTTTGTATATTAATGTAAACCAGTTTTATTTTTAAATTTTTAAAAATTTACTTCATATTTTATACGCACAAGATTTTTTTTTCTAGCTAATGGGCTGTTTTATCTTAAATTAAACTTGCTTATAAAGTGGATTTGACTTAAGGATATGTTTTCACAGCCAAAATCAATATCTTTTTTTCCCCAGCAAAATCAATGCCATGGATCGATCAGTACCATCAATAGATCAATATCAATAAATACACACACACACACACATATCATGTATATGAATGGCTCTTTTTTTATTTTTTTTATAAACAGGGCTTTTTCTTTTTTGGCAGAAAAACTATATATAAAAAGAGTGATGCAGGATCAGCATAAAAAAAAGTTGGACTAAGACTTACTATAAAAATAATGGCGAACATTCGACCCCTGAATATAATTGTAAAAAAGTTAAGCGTTGGATTTGCAATAAAATATTGTCACTGTTTTAAATTTTATTGCACTCATGATAACAAATTTTAAAATAAAATATTTGTTGCTTGAATTCTGTGTGCGCATTTATATAAGATAATTAATTATATACAACATATGAATTAAAAAATAAATGTGGGACCCAAAATAAAAAATGCTTGTAGATATGAGACTCAAAAAAATAATACATATGAGATCTAATATATTTTTTTTATAAATGAAGGAGATTTATCATTTATTGCTTGTAGTTTATATATGTATAAGATAATTAATTATATACAATATATAAATTTAAATAATAAATATAAAATAAAATATTTTATTATTTAAATTAATTAACTTATTCTGCTTCACTTTTATATATAAGTAAATTTTATCATGTATATTTTAAAGTGCATATTATAGTACTGTTCATCAACACAGAGCTACGGTTTTTTTTCCTTTTTTTATTTAGTTTTTTATAATAAGAGTTTATATGGAACTTATAATAAAAAAAATAAGTGCTGGACTCATAGTAAAAAATGTTTGTAGATATGAGAGTAATAAAAAAATAATATATATAAGATCTAATATGTTTTTGTAAATATAGGAGATTTATAATTTGTTACTTGTATTTTGTATGTATATAAGATAATTAATTATATATAATATATAAATAAAAAAGAGTGGGACCCATAGTAAAAAATGCTCATAAACGTAAGACTCATGAAAAATAATATATATGTGATCTAATATTTTTTTGATAAATGCAAGAGATTTATTATTTATTTCTTGTAGTTTGTATATGTATAAAATAATTAATTATATAAAATAAAATATTTTATTATTTAAATCAATTGACTTATTCCACTTTTATATATAATCACAGGGTTTAAAAAATTGGCTAATCCTAATAATTATATTTGAAATTGAGAAGTTTAGATTAAGATATATTTGTGATTAAAATTTTATTTTTTTCTAATTTAATGATACCATCATTTAATGAAGAGTAATTAAGAAAAATATGTCATAAATAATTTTTGAAAATTATTTTTTTGCTTATGAAATATAACAACAAACTATATGAAAATTTTTCTTATATTTAAAAATTGAGGAAACATATAGTCAAATTTATTAATAAATTATGATAGAACTACAGTGATTTGGTTAGATATATGAGATTTGAATTTATGACTAAAATAAATTCTATCACTTAATAAGTATCACATGTAATACGATAATAATTTTTTAATTAAATGGGACTATTGTAACATATTTTATCATACAATACTATCTACTTTTTTATTATAAATGTTAAATGTGAAACTCATAATGAAAATGTAAGTTCAAAACTTATAATAAAATTATAAATTTAATTTTTTCAAATTATAAAAATTCAAGTCTACATTCATTAAAATTTAGGTCTACATGCAAAGAAAATAAATTGTAGAATAAAACAAATTTTTATAAAATAAATTT